AGCAAGCAAGCAAGCAACCAACCAAGGAAACAAACAAAAACCCCTACAGAAACCGGTTACACACAGAACTATCAAGATAGAAAAACATGATATGGTGGAAAAGAGCAAAAATGGTCATCGGAAGGAAAGGAGGCTTCTCGTTTTTCACATTTGCTTAAAAAGTTGAAGGTAGAATCCAGAGGCTAGTGGGTATTTAGGAATACCCATTATTCTAAATTAGATGCCAGCAAGGTGAATATTAGTTATAGTTCTTAGTAATTTCACAATCTGAAATTTACATTTTTTCTATACAAACAACAGGATAAAATATAATTTTAAAGTGTAGAAACCCTGCCCCCATGATAGCATCAAACTTAGGAAAACAACATTAAAAGTGCTTCGGGCTGTAGGATTTTAAAGAGTATTAGACTCAATTGCATATGAGAGCGATATCTTTTGACATTATAGTGAAGCTAGATCCCTGTATGATGAGATGCATTATAAGTTCTGGTGGTCCTTCTTGCAATGTCCACCGCTAAGAATTAAATCCTTAGCTCTCAGTTCAAAGTCCACTTCAGGAAGCGGGGTTATTTATATTGAAAATGAAATTATTTTCCGTACTTTTACTCTTTCCATAATAAAACTGAAGATTATACCTTCATAACAAGAATGGTGGAAAGAAACACAGTATAATAGGTAAAGAACACATTTGCTGTTTTTATTGGTGCCTTGCATGGCAGTAATACTGAAAAAAGAGAATGCAAAAACAAAAAACAAAAAACAAACAAAAGAACAGGTTGGTGGCAACCCACATCTTTTTTTTTAAGAGTACATAAACTCCTGTTTTCTTTTTATTGTGGCATGAATGGTAACATAAAACCAAAAACATGAAAATATACAACTTATATTACACTATGTGTTATGAACAAAATATAAATCTATAACTCTATGTTATATTTACATAATTATTTATTTTATTAAATTTCAAGTGAGATGGTAGGTTGCACATACTTTGTTTTAAGCTCCAGGCATTTGATTGTCTCTTTTCTACTTTTTTTCCCCATTTTGACTCGTGAAATCCAAAACGTTAGAAGGACTAAGAACTTTAGAGCCAGCGGAGCCGTATAAATACTGTTTCAGTGAACCAGGGACAGAAACACTGGGAAGGACAGGAATCAATCAGTAGGAAACTTCACACAACAGCATCTTCAACTTGGGAAACTGACAGTTGTAGGAAACTTTAAAATTAAATACTGTAAAAGCCTGTCTAAACAAAAACTTATGCCCTATAAGAGATATCTGAACCACTTTAAGTGGGCTTCATAATTTTCCTTGCAGACCCCATAACTTTTATTTTACTATTAACTTGCTAGACAAATATTTTATAAACCTGTTTGCAAATATACAGTTGCTTGTTACAATTCAATAATTCACCCACTAGAATGAATGAACGTTATTTTTTGACGTTTCAAATGTGATAAAAGAGATTTCTGCTGGGAACAGTGGCAACTTCTGGATTAAGAAAATATCTGAAATTGGGACCACAAAATAGTTAAAGATAATTTTCTTTAAGTGAATTAAGGTAAAAGTCTACTCTGAAATCAAATCTATGAAATAATTTCATCAAAGAAAACTCTTTTATAATCGTTTCTTATAAGAGGATTTGGTTTCAATAATAATTACGTTCTTTGGGAGGGATTTTATACATGGTTAACTTTTAAAAGCAGATGCCAAATAAATGTTAAAATTTGGTTTAACTAATTAATAAACGTACTGAAGAACAGTTTTGTATTTTATCCAGTTGCAGTAACTAGCCAAATTATTAGTAACTTGTAAATGAGCAACTTTAACCTCTTTTCTTCAGTGATGTTCTCTTATGTTCATATTAAAACATGACTATTTTTGGAGGAACTGATTACAATAGCCATAAAATGAGAGTTCAGGCAAGATTATTCCTCAGTACCGGGATGAGTGTGTGCATGTGTGTATGCACGTGTGCGCGTGAGACAGAAAGAGAGAGAGAGAGAGAGAGAGAGAGAGAGAGATGTGAACAGGGAGGCAGGAAAGGATAGAGGAGGGAAATGTTATCTTCATCTCAGTTTGATCTTACTCTCATTTCCTCTACCTTAGCTTTTTTGATCATCATGGGGCACAGAGAGAGAATACAAGGTTTTAGGATCCTTTACAAAAATGATAAACCAATCGAATGCCAAAAAGGCAATGTGTTAACACATTACGTTGCTATTCATAGCACCTTTTATCAAATGACTTCAAAGCATTTTAAACATCAGTGTAATTTTTCTTGTTGTTTTCTTCTGGGGAAAACTAAGGCAAAGAAATTGCGATACCCAGTGAATGCTATGTCAGAACGCGAGAACAGAACGCGGGGTTCTGGACTTCCTGTTTTTGTCCACGCACGGTATAGCCTCTCTGACATCAACCTAACTAAATAAAATTAACTTCTGAATTTCAGCAGTTAAGGGTCATCATTAACAATTTCGCTTTCCCCTTCAAATAAAAAATAAAGAACAAACAAAAAAAAGACCAAGCAGAAGTGTTTTGTCAATTCACTGGTAAGTGCGTTAGAATCGGTTTCAGCCGTGGTTGCCCTCAGTGGCATCTACCTGGAGCTAAAACAAAGTATTCTTGTAGCCCAAAGTCATGAAATGAAAACAAAGCATCTTTATAACGTGGTGTAAAATAAGTATCCAGCAAACGTGAGAGGTGAACCCACATAAGTCAGAAAGAATTTGTTAACAAAGACGAAGAACAAATTTTTAAAAATCTGTTTTCACATTGTACATAACGATATAAAACGAGTGTCTATTTTTTTTCCTTATCCAGAGTGCTTAAAAACAAACAAACAAAAAAAAATTGGCTCTAGATGACTGTGGCAATTAAATAACTAAATGAGTGATGAGAGTATAAGTTAATTAAGATTGAACACGACCCTCCTATTCACTCCTTTGTATGAAACACCAGAACTTGACATTGTTGGGGCCAAATTTTTAAAAAGGAGAAAACTTATTGCAGGCGAAGTAAAATTGTGTGGGTGAATGTGTGTGTGTGTGTATAAATATATATATATATATATGAGTTGGAAGATGGAAATTTGTTTTAAATATCTAACAGCTTATTGGCTGCACTTCCAAATCAGAGGAGAATAAAATAGAGAGGGAGAAATAAATTATACATAACTTACTAATCTGGGAACAGCTGACCATTATTATTATTATTACTATTATTATTATTATTATTATTTTATCATCATCATCATTACAACACTAGCAAAAAGAGGCAGTTCAAATGAAAATACAGTCATCAAAAACAAACAGAAAAACAAAACAAAATCTCTGACATGCAGGATATGATCAGCTCCTCCAAGCAAAACCCCAGAGCAAGTCTTTTGAGAGAGAGAAAAATAAAAAGGAGATTTTTTCTTATTTATATGTAAAAATCAAACTTTTGGGTCAGGTTTGAGGGGTGGGATAGGAAAATGATGACTGGAGTGAAAACCATAGCACATCCAAGCTACTGGTTGGAGTATTTATTGTCTGATGCTTCAGCACAAATAATGGCAATTTACTTTAAATGATTTTGCATTTATTTGTACAAGCCCTATAACTGCCTTGGCATTTGGCTGGCAAAATCTAAATAAGCAGTTCTGTCACCATCGGTTGTTGCTCTATGCACATACTCTGCTGGAACCCCAAATTGGACTTCAGTGGATTCATCTTACGGCGAGGGAAGAGTGGTGGCGAGGCTCACTGGGTTCAGCCAGGCTCCATTTTGTCGGGCTGCAATGACTTTTAATCAAATCCTGCTTTTTATGGTATGGGATGCACATGGCCCACAACTGTGAAATGCAAATGGCCTCTGCCTCATTTCATGGAGAGATGAAAAATACCTTATAAAATCATCAGTTCCATTTCCTAATCAGGAAAGGATGGAATGTTGAAGAAATAAGCTAATTCTGTGTTTTTGGAAAATGACCAAATACAGTCAAAGAAAACAATGATTGTTTTGCTCGAAGTTATCAATAGGAAAACAAACAGAAATCATTAAGTAGCAAACATTAGTGGAACAAACTGACCAGGAAGAAGGGACATCTGGGAACAGTTTGCTAGTAGCTTCCATGTTATACATGCACACCTCGATTACACAGGGCTGCCTGATCCATCCAATAATAATCGTATTAGAAATTTAAAAATATAATTTCTGAGCCCTATCTTGGTTGTCATTTGAAGTGCAAAGTCAAGGTCAAGGTTGCTTCCAGACCAGTCACTTAGGAGGATGTGGGATTTCATCCCCAGATGTGGGTTTAACTCACAATGGTTCAATGTTATTCCTATTAGTACCATAATCACACACATACATACACACAAAAATCCAAGATCAGAAAATATTTTTTTCTCTAAATTTCTTATGTCTCTCTCTCTCTCTCTTTTCACCTGAGAACAGCACCTACAGTTTCCATTTAAAAAAAAAGTCAAATCTCACCAGCTGCTGGTATTTCAGGTTTTTCAAGGGATTGTCTAAGATATAACACTGTCCTAACTTAAGAAGGAACAGGAAAAAGGAAAGGAAAAAAAAAAAAAGAAAAGGAACTTGGTCAACACTTCAGTACAAATTTGGCACTTGCTCAAAGATGTAGTGTGGTGTGCAATAGATAAAGAAAGTCCTCTAAAGAAAACAATTGCTTATTTTGTGGTGGATAGCAAGGAAGTTAAAAACAGGCTCTTTTTCCCTCTTCCCCCCCATGCACAGACTTCCATCTTTAAAGTATAGAGATGGAGAAGGTGGAGAGAAATAAAGAGAAATTCATCTTTCTTTTTTTCTGTCAGGTGCGTTACAAAAAAAAAAAAAAAGGAAAGGAAAGAAAAAGAAAAGGAAAAAAACCCAGAAACCCCCAAAAAACAAAACAAAACTTATTTCTTTTTAAAAATTGTAGCACAAAACAACAAAACACATTCACAAGCCACTTGTTGGCACTGTGTACCTGAGTGAGAATTTCTAGAACATTGTAGAACAAACAGCCATAAAGTTTATTAAAAAAAAAAAAGTTGACGGGTAAGACTTCAGTGCTTGGATGTAGCAGCTGAATTACTGGCATTATTTTACCCATAGCTTATTTCAATCTCTTGTTGTTGATATTGTTGTTTGCTTGTATTTTTTTTTTCCTTTCCAAGCCTTTTGAGGCTGAGGTCTATTAGTCAGCTGATGTCCCAACTATTTAAGACTAACAGTTAAAGTAACAGTCAGTGTATGAGAAAGTTAATGTGCTTGGCCACTGGTAAGGATGAACCAGCTAGGGCTTCTTTAAGTCCTAAGGTCACAACAATCTTTTGACCCTTATCAGTTGGCTTGTCCTGCAATATGGTTTTCACTGTCACTCCCATAATCTACATCAGGATCGTCCTCTTCCTCATCAAACTCATCATAAATTTCTCCGTTGATGTCCTCAGCCTGGATCTCTTCTTTGATATGTGGCTCCTCTCCTTTCACGCCGTAAGTGCTCTGGATAACGGGCATCCCAGGCTCTGGGCTGCTGGACACGCTTGAGTGCTCCGAGGGCAGGTGAGGGGAGGGCATTCCGGCCATGGCGATGGCTCCAGGGTACACAACACCAGCAGTGGCGATGGGGATCTGTGCTTGTTGCCTGCAGAGAGGAATACCCCCAAAAAAGACCGTGGGTGACAGGATACTCACATGCAGGCTTTACTCTATAACGAATCTGTTCAGCTTGCCCAATTCTAAATAGTGATTCTCATTCCATTGCCCAACATTTAAAAAAAATTGCATCCTCCTGCGATGTCGATACCTTACTGCTGTCTAGAGCTTGACAGATTACAAGGCATTTACATGTGGTACATATTTGATTCTTAAAATAATTGTTTTATTACTATCTTATGAAGAAAAAAACCCCTGAGGTGCAGAAAGATTAAGCAGAAGAACTTGACCCCAAGTTCATGTCTCCTTCACTATAACATCCAGAGGTTTTAGAAATAATTAAACTAAAGATAATGCAATTTTAATGGAAAAAAAAAACCCTACAATATTAGAGTTCTCAAAATAAAACCTTATTGCTCAGAACTCACCAGAACTGAACAGTATCACTTTGCCCACCTGGTCCCTGCCATAGCTGGGGGGGGGGATAGGAAGCAGGGTGGACAGCTCCGCAGCTGTATAGCCCAGCTGTATACCCCTTTCTAAGCCCAGCTTGCTCCTGGGCTTAGAAAGACCCTATGTTTGGTTTAGAGTTCTGCTGCCGCAGTCTTGAAATTCTTAACTTTAACAGGAACCCCACATTTTGATTTTGCCCTGGGCTCCACAAATTATGTAGCTGATCTTAGTGAGAAGGGATTAATGGATGATGCTCACTTATGCCTTCTTTCTTTCATTCATTCATTCATTCGTTCATTCATATGTTTACTATTTCGTCAGTGTTGGGTTTCGTGCTCAGCTCTGAGAAGACTCATGCCCTGGGATGTAAATCACAGGCCACTGGTCAGAGCAGGCAGACTCTCCAGGGACAAGGATAGGGCAGACTTTTAAAGTTTTTTTTTTTTTTTTTTTAAGGTATCCTCTTGCCATTTTCAGAACAGTGTTTACTATTCTAAGCAGCCCTCGGGATCTTACTAACTTCTGTTCCAGATATGAGCAACTTTATTTCTCTGCTTTCTGAGAAAATTCTGCAGAAGCAATGAAGCTGCAGGCAGCGTAATAGGACACCGTAGCCAGGCTCGCCCTGTAGGAAGCAGGGTAAAACCTCCTGGGAGCTACATTCTTGATTCCCCAGAAGTGAGCCTTCCCCGTTCACAATCTTGTCGTGCCCTAAGTAGAATCTCCATTTTGCGTGATCTACAAAGGCCACACGTGTGCCTTGATCGCCCAGAAATCCCTCTATATTCCAAAGCAAGTGTTTCTCTTGAAATCATTTTTATGATGTATGATCTCAAACAAGGATGGTGTCGAACTTGTCCATGTGATGCCTTAGAAGTAATGAACACCAACAAGGACAAGAACCGATAATACTTCTTAGTTTTTAATAAGGAACTGCAAAACTATTTACTTTTCAGCCAGTTGTCAGGAAAGCTCATGGGAGAGCCAATGTTCTAGGCCCTTGGAGTCACTTCGTGTGGAGGTATTCTTTTTCAGGATCATGTGGGGGATAGTCTAGTCTCTGAAAATACACTGAGTTCAGGTTCTTTTGCAAAATGCTGGCTCGCAGCATTTTGTCTCACAACCAAATATGTCTCACATCCCATTAAGTATAACAAGAAGCATTCCCCATGAAAAAGCGACTGAAAGGTCCATACCCAACATTGAAGTATTGTCGCATTTCCTGCCGCCTGTTCCGCATGATTGCCTTGTATTCACCAATGCGCAGCTTTTTGCCGTCCACGAGGCAGGTGCGCTTCGGCCGGGGCTTGTATTTGTAGTCGGGGTACTTCTCCAGGTGCTGCTTGCTGAGGCGGGCTTGCTCCTCGTAATACGGCTGTTTCTCTAGGTTCGTCATAGCTTTCCAGCGAGATCCTGTGAGGAAAAGAAGGTTAGGATTCCAATATGCACAGCTGCGAAGGTTCCTAAAAAGATATCACTGAGAACAAGAAAATCTAAAGTAAAAATGCTGGCCCAAACCCAGAAATACATAAAAATGTGTTTGATTAGCGAACTATGACTCATGAGGTGAGATCCCACAAGAACAGAGGCGCTGCCGGCTATGTCCTTAAGGAAACTATGTACCCGAAGATACAAAGGTGGGGGGATCTATTTTTTTTCTGGCTGGAATTAACAATGTAGCCAACCATGTGTATTATATATTTAAAAGCTCACAGATAATTTAAAGAATATACCTTTCGTTTCCACATTAGACCACAATAGGTCAACTGTGAAATGAAAAGTTATGCAAAAACTTATTACACATTTTCAATCTGTGGCTAATTATCTAGTTACTGAGTATTTTTACGTGGGGGGCACATTACTTACTACAAGGTTTCTAACATATATTACATATAATTTCTAACATATATTACATATAATTTCTAACATATATTACATAAAATTTTCCTCAAAATGTTTAAGTATGCTTTCATGAATGATTGCATTTAAAAATTCATTTCATTAAAACTTTAATTACAAAAAATTATCTTAATGAACATGCACTGGGTAACTACTGTGTGCTAGATACTATGCTAAAAACTTTACATAAGTTGTCTTATTTTTACCTTTCACTGGAATCCTGTAAGGTAGTTTTAGCATTTATACCTATTTCCAAAGATGAGAAAATTGAAGTTCAAACAGATGAAGTAACTTACCCAAGGTCACACAATTAATAGTTTGCAAATCTGTGACTCAAACTCAGGTTGGATGTAATTGAACACGAATATGCTACAATGTATGTTTTTAGATACCCAAACCCACCTGCTATCTATGATCTAGCGGACGTCAGAATTACAAGAATAAGTATGTATGGGGTAAGATTTTTCTCTTAATAAATCACTTTCAATAATATATAACGATGTCATTTCTTGTGCTATCGTATGCATTAATAATATTAATCCAAATTGGTAATCCAAATTGGTTTTCCCCTTCTTTTCACTTTTGATTTGGGTTTGGTTTCAACTAGGATCACACACACACAAAAATGTTTGCAACTTAATTAAAAATAATGCTACGTTCTGCATGGAGCCCTGGGTGTTATACGCAAATAATGAATCATGGAACACTACATCAAGAACTAATGATGTAATGTATGGTGATTAACATAACACAATAATAAAAAATTTTTTCAAAAGAAAATAATGATGCTAATTCTCAATATAAATGTGATTTAAAGCTTTGGTTCTATTACTGTGGCTATGTGTAGTAGTAAGAGAAGTAGTGGTAATAATGATGACTTTTTATTAAGCACGTGAGGAGAATCTATTTGCAGATGAAGTGTGTTTATCAGCAAGTAAACAGTTCAACTCTACCCAAAAGTACAAAGACCAAAGTAACTGGAATTGGGAGTTCCCTACCAAATATGTTCTGGTACGGAAGCCTATACCTGCCTTCCAAAGTCACCTAAGCAAGATCTTAAGGTTTTCAGATGGGTTCATTACTCAACCATAATTCCATATCTCAAATGCAAATGGTTTACTGATGAACAGTTCTTCCCTACAAATGCAGACAATTCCTCAATATGGGCTGTTATATGTATTAAAGGAATACAGTAAAAGGGACAATACTCTTCCCTTAGGATTCATTCCTATTGGAACAGATGTTGCCCGGGTGGGTATATCCATGCAAGTGTTACAAAAATTTATAAACAGATTTTTTCCAATCTAGATAGCCAATATGATTTTATTCTATTTACTACAGAAATCCAAGTTATAGTTCAAATAATAGAGGTTGTTTTTCTATTCCTTTCTCAAACTTGTGTTTAAATAGCCACGTCCAATAATTTGTAGGTACAATCTCAAACTCTATATTGCCCAACATTATTCTCTAGAGGTATTGGAAAACATTACGTTATTCTCAGGGCAAATATAAATACAGATAAAGCTATAATACTATTGAACTGGATCAATTCTTTTTGGAAAGTTTCTTACAAGTATGTACAACAGATTTTGAACCTCAGATCCGGGAGTGCAAAAGTGAGCTTACCAGAAATAATTTACTTAAGAATTAAAGAAATACATTAAAATTCCCTATCTTTATCACTAGATAGAACAAAGAAATTAGCATTCTCAATTAGAATAGGAATTGTTAAGGGTTCTTCTCTAAGTCTAAATGTTCTATAAGCTCAAAAAGAATACATTTCTCTAAGGAAAAGGAATGTTTATGCCTCATAGTAACATGCCTCAGAATGTGATAACTCTTTTTAGATTTCCTACTGTGTGCATCATGCTGTATTAATTATTGGATATGCAGTGGTGAATCATTATGTTCCTTATCTTCTTGAGGGTCATATTCCAGTGGAAAAGAAATACATTAAGCCGCTAATTAAAAAATTTATTATTTTAATTACAATTGTGGAATGCACAGGAAGCTAAGGAGTTGGGATCAATCTTTTGTAGGTCCGGAAGGCTTTGCTGTGGAAATGACTCCTGTAGGAATCAGAAAGGGAGAGCTTTCTATGGAGGAAGAATAGAATGGTCAAGTGGGAAGGGGAGTTAGAGGAACTTAAAGAAAGTCAATCTGGCTGAAATGCAGAGGAAAAAGGATATATATATATATATATATATATATACACACACACATATATATAATAAATAAAATATATATATTTATGTAAAGATAAAATAAAGATATATATATATATATATAATAAAAGATGTATAAATTCTCAGACAAGTTGGCTTCTAAATCTGGCATGAACTGGAATCACAGAATATTTAGACATTTGCTATGATTTCTCTGGAAATATCCCTGAATCCTAAATTACATTTTAAAAGATGGCCACATCCTAGTGATGTCTTTTTAAAATGAAGAATTAAGGTAGCCTAAGCACTGTCTGTAGTTGGCAGAATGGCTAACTATTCCATTTTATGACAGTGGAGACAAAGAGTGTTTCTGTTTGATGGCAGATACAGTTTTCATTTTTCAATAACTTTTGAATAGGGTTAACCAAATGACGAGTTTGGTTTTGGTTTTAATGGTTTTGCCGGTACGGCATCCACTGTATATAGCTACAGTGTGAACCCTGAGACACACTAAATGAGCACTTCAGTTCTCTCCAAAGGAGAGGAAAACGTCTTCTTGATCTGGGTGGGGGGAGGGCTGACTGCTTACCCTGGACCACGTGCAGGGAGTAAGTTCCCTGCATTTTTCAAAAGACTGGCCTTTTACAATGGAAAACTGAGAGGACATCTGGGTATTCCCCCTGATGACAAAGAGGAAGATTCATTCAAAAAATCTGATGCTCAAAATAAGAAGAAAAAAAAAAACAGTCTTGAGAGCACTCTTTTCCTTTCTAAATCTGGCAATACAATAAAAATGAAGAGTTTGAGCTGAGCAGCATTGTCATCTCCATGGGGTCTGTAATGAATTTGCACATTTTACTCCAACTACTGTATATCTAATCAGAAAAAGATGTCCCCCATCCCCTGATCTAGCGCCAAACAGTAAAAGGTGATTCCTTATGTTAACAATTTCAGCAGAATGGCTTATTAAAACCAGATTTTAGGGTATTATAAAATGCTTAGAAGCCCTTTAAAATGTCAACTAGGATCCCCAGAGACTACGTAAAATGTCAACCCAGCTCAAGCGCCTGTTTTAAGCAGAATGAATTAGCGGCATGCTGTCGGAGGCTGTTATCCAAAACAATCAGTAAAGAGGAAAACATCAAGCTTTCTTTGTACTCTTATATGAAATGGGCCAGTTAGAATGATCTTGTGGATATTTGCAGATCACTTATTTGTTTGAAGCTATGACCAAATATTGAGGTCCCAAACACCTCAGTGTTTTTTTTTTCCCTGCTATATCTTTAATGAGCACAATTCTATTGAAAAGTCTAAAATTAGGCAGCACTCTTTTTAATGTAGCCCATTATGATATAATCATATGGTCATTATAATATTCTTTCCTTCAAATCAGAAAGAAATGCTTGTAGCTAGTCACATCTTTACCATAAAATCTTTTGCTACATTTCCTAAAGTATTTCACATCATCACAACTGGTATTTCCCTAATACTTAGGATAAAGTTTTAATCAGTGACTATCACTTTTCCAGTATTCAAACACGAATTGAATGATATAAGGACAGCTTAAACAATCTTAGTATTGTTTGTTTTTTCCTTTTGACATTTTGGAATTTCTAATTTTGTGATAACTGATACATTAAGATACGGAATATGCTTACATAAAGTATTTTATTCTTTCCCAGAGTTTTTCCCAAATGGAACAGGTATGATATTTTTTAAAAAATGGGAAATTTCATATGGAAGTTAAAATAGGGTCATAAAAAGGAAAAACAGATCAGAGATGGTAGAGATGTAAAAAATGTGCATTTCCTTTATCCATAAATATTCACATTTTCTAGGCTTCACATACTCTTATCTTTTGAGATAACATTCATTTAAAGATCTCAAAATCATTTTAGATGAAAACTGAGACCTAAGTTCAAGTGGTTAATGGTTTTTGTTTTGTTTGTTTTGGTCTCATTACAAATGCATGCTGTGGACTGGGTAGCACATATTTCCACCCAGAGATATGAGCATTTGAGAATATGGGAGCATAAAAACACATGTGTATGTTTAGTAACTCCTTCTAGATGATCAGTTCCTTAACGTAGAGGAACAAAACGAACACTCACTTGCATTAGGTACATGTAATTCCAAGTGCATTATGGATTTTTGGAAAGTTTTAATAACGTAGAGAAATGTTACTTATTTGTTGAAGCCCAAATTCAGAGTTAGGTGCTCCTATTCTCTTTTTGTTGTTTAGCTCTTAGAGGTCAGAGAATAAATAATCAAAATTTGCTTAGGTTATCCAGTAGCTGGCCATCACACTATCTGAAGATGAAGAAGATGATGACGATGTCAAGTGAACAGCACAACAGAAATGGAATCTTCCCTTCTTTTTCTGGGACTTAAACTGGCATATAGTAGGTCTCTTTATAATCACTACCTTTACCTCTCATGATCTCTTCTGTGTGCGTCAGTGTCTATGTACATAAGGAAAATATGTACTTTATCTGTTAAGCTGAAAGCTGAAATGACAGGAAAAGTCCCTTTTTAAAAGATGCTGAAATTGGGGAGGATATGTGCTGTGGTGAGCACTGTGAATTGTGTAAGACTGATGAATCACAGACCTGTACCCCTGAAACAAATAATACACTATATGTTAATTAAAAAAGAACAGTAATTCTAAAAAGTAAAATATAAATAAAAGATGCTGAAAATCTGCTTAAGGCTACTAAAAGTATAAATCAAAAATTGCACCACACGCCCCATCTTCTTGGGTCCTGACAATCTAAACTGATTTTCAGTTATAGTACCAGAACAAACATCACCTATACCTCCATCCCTACCACGTGAAGAATTCTATAGTTCAAAGGTCAATCCTATTACCAAGTAGTTCATAGGAAAAGAACTTTTTTCTTAGTCTTGGTACAAAATATTTCTAGATCTTAAAGAAGAGAAAATATTACAACAATTAGTATGGAGACACACAACTAAATAAGCTATAGAAACTGGGCACATTTCTCAACAAACATGAAATGCTTCGTCATCAGAAGAAAAGCCTCAATTAATGGTGCTTATTTTTTAGATAAGCAGATCACATGAACTGCCTGGCTTCTAAAGCCAATACCTTTCAACAACTGCAGAAAACAGAGCTGTAAACTTATTGCATGCATCACATAATCATTAATACATTTCTTACCCAATATCTTGCTGATGTTGGAGTTGTGCATGTCGGGAAAGGCTTGAAGGATTTTCCTTCGTTCATCTTTAGCCCACACCATGAAGGCATTCATTGGACGTTTTATGTGGGGTTCATTGCTACCACGCCCTCTGGATTCTCTATAAATTCTTGATTCTGAGACTCCAGCACTTCCTAAAAATAGGGAACATTGCTTCGTGTGAGTGTTAAGACCTTTGGTTATTCTCTTCTTTGGATTGCTATTGAATGTTTGTCTAGTGAAATATCTATTCTAGTCTATTGAAATATGAATATAAAAGCACTTTCAGTTCTTGAGACAGACGCTTGTTCATGAAGTTTTTGTGATAAACTCTGTGGTGGCAATTGTTGTATCTGTATTTTTAATTCATTTCTAATATATTTTTTCCTTTTTATCGATGGACTATGGACTGTTTCACCATTTCCTTTCGAGAGGACAAAAGAAATTTGAATATGTAATCTTTGATGCAAATTGGAAAGAGAATTGCTGGGGCATCCCAATAGGCATGCTGGTACCATGGAAATATTAGACAGGTGGAGAAGCTCACAAAATTGTGAAGCACTAATCTGTTTGGCACAATGGATGACCACAGGTGAGGATGTGTGTCTGTTACCTAAAGACGGTCAGAATACTAAGTAGCCATTCCCTTTTCCTCTCTCTGAGGTAATATAAATAAAAATGCGGCTAAATAAAAATTTGAGGTTAAAATACAATATAGAAATTCTTCTATAATGTGTTTGACTTTTCTTTGCAATTTTGTGCGAATAAATACATGAAATACACTGATGCGTTAATGATAGCCTGCTCCCTAGAAGAGCTCTGAAAATGGTAGGGGGAAAAAATGAACAGTTACACTACTATGGTTTCTTTAAAAAGTCCACAGCCACATATTTAAGGTGAAACAAATAATATATTCATTCCCTTGAATTTTCTCCCTCATGTCTAAAGTTACCCAAAGAGACCTACCGAAAGTTCCTTTCCAATCAGCAAGACTCAAGGTGATAAAGCATAACCAAGAGCCACAGTAGAACCCTTGGGAGCTGCCCTCACTCCTCTAGGCTTTATGTGACTTTGTAGAATACTTTCACCAGATTAAACAGCTTCCAGACATACTCGAGTTAGGCAAAGAAAATCAGGAGAAGCAGGGGGAAGCACAGAACTGTGATACCAAGTTTTCCAGGGTTATCATTAGAAAATATGGAAGAGATGTATTTTGGTAGCATATAAAATTTTTAAATAATTTGGGCATTTCTAGAACTTGTATCTTTAATTAAAGCATTGCTTTTTTTTTCTTCCCTCAGACTCCTCTTCTTTTCTTTTCTCAGTTAGAAGGAACATAAATCAACCAAAATTACCCAGACTTGAAGACCTCTAGAGCAGCAAACAGAAACACAGCATACCTGGTGGTGGAGTTTCTCATTATTTCTCACTCATAGTATGCTCTTTGGTCTGATGAAGATTGGAAAATGTTTTGCATACAAGCATGACTGACTTTAACAAATAACAGCAACAAAGTTTTGATGTTTTAATGCTGATTACTATGGATATATTTTATCATGCTAATACAACTTAAAATTTATGAAATGTGTTATTACCAGTAATTGTCTTTTTATTGACAAAAATGAGTGCTAATATATGGCAACATCTTGCTGAAATGGGTTTGTAACCAGCAAATGATCATTTGCACATCTGCTTTTTCCTGTTCTTACACCTTACAGCAACATAAGCAATAAAATGAACATTATGCAACTTCACCAAAGCTAAACAAGCTCTTTATATGTACTTAGACCACGTTTATCTTAGCCAAGTGATGTAGAAAAGAGAAGGAAACGTTTGGATCCCAAAGGCCAGGAAAACACTGACTTTGGTTGGATAGCCAACTGAATAAAATTCAGTTCCGATAAAATTATCTGGCTACATGCTCAAGTTTGGCTAGTCTCTTGGCTAGGGTAGAACTGCACTTAAAAGTAGAATTGGCCCAAGGCACAGAGTAGACAACTACGTATTTTGGGGAACTCAAGGCCATCTCCTCGGTCCTAAAGTATGCTTTCTAATGGTTTGCTCTGGTGCAGCCTTTTCTATATGCAGGGGACTTTCTCTCCCATAGTAACAAATTTGAGGACAGTGTTCTCAAAATGCATATATGGCACTTGATACGGGAGGGAGGTTCCCAGCTGCAGCTCAAGGTAAGACAAATAGCACTTTCTTCTTTTTCTCTGTTTGCTGTGCTATGAAAATTAGTGTCAATTTAATTAGTTGTCACTGGGGATGTTTAAAATGTTCAGAGATGATACAGACAACAGAAATCTCGAGGCACGTGAAGAAAGCATGAGGTTGGGCAGCTGGTGTTCCAGTTGGGTTCTAAAGGGGAGGGAGGACACTTGACTGAACGGTAAACAGTATAAGAGTGAAGGGTTCCAAAGTGCAAACATACATGCGCACACACACACACACACACGTGTGTCTCCTGAAAATGTCCGCTTAGCCTTGTATTCTGGTCAGAGTTTGACAAATGAAAACTTGAAAATGAGCTTGTAGACACAAGTTTCTGAGTAGTTTGCTTTGGGTACAAGAAATAGGGAAGTGAGAGAAAAGTCTGGCAGTGACTGGGAGTATTTGCTTCAGAATCATGCCATCTTGAATCCAAGACCTGCCTCTGGTAATCACAGCCCTGTTATCTTGGAGAAAAATGATTCAAAATTCCCAGGGCCAAATATTACAAATACTTCATTTGTAATAGTATTTATCTCACAGGTTGTGCTAGAAATTAATGAGATGATTTATGCAAAGCCCTCAGCAGATTGCTTGGCACATGGGAACTGCTCAGTACATGTGAGCTCTTATTATAATGACCAGGTATAATGTGGCTATCTTATAGACTTTTTGGTAGTTTTAACTGGCACTAAATAGACACGTCTGTACACTATCAGAATATACATGAACAATTTTCACAAACCATCAGAATCTCCACTCATATTGAAATCCATCATGGCATGGCTAAATTTTCCTTCTTCATTCTGCTTAACTGCCAGTTGCTGAGTCAGACTCTCCAGTGTTGTTTTTTCCTTAAAAAAAGAAATTTATAATGAGAGCTCAATCTGGAAATTATAATTATTCAAAGACATTTTTTTCTTGGGCCATATATAATACATTAGCTTCTGGGAGGGACAGAACGTTGATTTATTCACCTTTGCACATTCAGCACATTATGCTGAAGTAATTGATCATCAAATGATCAGCAGGGTTTTTGAAGGAACTCTGATTCTTAGAATCCCCTATACAGTCTTGGCATTTGGGTTTGGTATGCCTCAGGGGTATGTGCAGGGATCCTTGGAGACAATCTTCCCAAATCATAAAATGTGCTGAGAAATTTCATAAAAGCAACCTGTTTTACAACATTTGGAATGCCTTTATTTTTAGCCAGACAGTAGAAGTATAGGAGTGGCATGGGGCCCAGAGAAAGTCTTCCAATAGTCAGGTGACCAACTGATAGAAACATAATTCACAGTAGTGCCCTCTGGTTGCCATCTCCCTAAATGCCATCTGCATTCCTCATGCAAGGGTAATGAAGACGTTTAAATATTCATTGCTAATTGCTTGTCAAGTCTCTGTACATTCGATGTGAGTGCCTGCTACTTGGACCACAATTTGATTTGGATTGCTAAGCCAAAATATTGAGTTGGCGAATTATTTGAGATACAAATACACCAAAATTAGATCTGCAAAGACATCAAGTCATTTAAAAGCATGCAGTGCATGATTTGAATTCATGGAGAACATGGCATTACAAACAATTATTTTCAAGGAAAATATATAACGCTCAATCTAAACCGTATAAGATATTAAACTACTTCCAATTAAGTAATTGGGTGATTTTACGAAAAGAAAAAGCATACAATGGAAGGTTTACAACTTTTTCTGGCACTTTCCATCACTGCTGTGAGGATGACTTGGTTCCAAAACAGTTTTAAGAAAAGCATCTATCGGATTTCATAAAATTTGCTCAGGTTTCTTTATAATTATTTACTTCATTTTCTGAGAAACACCATCATGAACTGTACAAATGAACCACATATACTGTGGGATAGCTATTGACATAATGAAATGTTCACAGAAAATAATTAACTACTTAAAATAATTGTATTACAGGTAAAGGGGTCCAACTAATGTTCCCACCAAGAACCATTAGGGAATTGATATTCTTAATATAGTATATGCTTTATCTCTACAAAATCTCTGACAGTATTACAATTGTACATACTAAACAAAAAATTCTCTAAGTTTAGTGGCCTTGGAACTCCTATTCATCAAATTCTCTACATGATTTAGTAGAAAAAGTATTTAATTGTCCATTAGTATAAAACATAGCAGGGAAATTGGAAACAAAATAGTTGATATCAACTCGAGTTCTATAGGATAATATAGTACTAAGTTGAAATAAATTATATATTTAAAAATGTAGAAACTGATCCAATTAGTTTGTGAGAAATTGGTATTTTCTGGGGCTTTATATGCTCTGGATTTCTTTTGCTGAGAGTCTGTTGTATATATTCAGCTAAGAACAGGAGCACCAAGGACACCAGCTTAACAGACTCTCTTTATAGTAAATGTAGCTGTTAAAATAGAAGACAGTTACATTAAACACACACACACACACACACACACACACACACACACACACACTCCATCAACATGATCTGATCATCTCCAGTCAATGAAGACTTTACTGTACTATCTTTGGGGAATGAATGTACTAAGCATGGATTGCCTCTCAGGTTTTGATTTAATGGTGGATAGGGCAATAAATCCTACATATTTTAGAAAGAGTTTTCCATTCTGAAGCAAATTCTTTTAAGAAGAAAAAGCAAAATGAAGGCAATTGGAGTAGAAAAAGGACGAAATGTTGAGTGACTTCTAAGGTTCTGAGTTCAGCTGTATGAATCTTGTGCCATCTTACCAAGAGCTAAAATTAGCAAATAATGGGCAGGAAACTAACCAACAGTTTTTACAGTAAGTGACCTCTAATCATCTATTCCCTAAAGTATACAATATAATAAAATTATTTAATTAGCTACCCAAAATGTAATGTATAATACTTCCCAAGAACATGTCCGTGCGAGATAGTGGAAGTCAACAGGGTAAGCTGCATTGTTTTTGTGACTTTTTGCATAGCTGATTCTCAGACATGTGAACAGGGAAATGAGATGTGACTGGAGGAATTAGAGAATGTGTGGTGTGCCTTTAATTAAAACACCTTACAACAGCATGTAAATCAAAACGGTAACATTGGCACATTTTAAAAACCCTTGCCGACAAGAAATTCAGAAGACTTAAAGGAATTGAGGTAAGGGGGCTATACTAAAACCTAAGTGGTTCTATAGTAAATATATGGTATATTAAAACACAATGGTTCCATGGCAAATAATTGCCATAGAATTTCACATGAAAATTGATCCTATAGTAAATAAAAATTTATTTTTAGTACTTTTGTAAAATTTTAATATTATAGTCATTTATCTCAGAGAGAGAGAGATGGAGAGAACACAAGCAGGGGGAGGCACAGAGAGAGAAGCAGTCTCCCACTGAGCAGGGAACCCAGTGTGGGGCTCGATCCCGGGACTCCGTATCATGACCTGAGCTGAAAGCAGATGCTTAACCAACTGAGCCACCCAGGATCCACCCAGGTGTCCCAAATATTTAGTTCTTATGTATGGAGTATATATAAATCTTTATGTGGATAGTTGTCTAGATAATATGCTGAAACATCAGAAGAATGAGTTGAATTTAAGAATAGTTCTCAAAAGTTTAAATTCAATCTATAGGTATATAGGAGGAGAAAGAATCAGCCATATGTTATAAAGCACAAATGCTGGTGCCTTGAGAAGATCCCTCTGACCCCACTCCTTCCAATTCCAGCATCCCTGGCTGTCCCTGTCCCCAGAAAGTCCATCTATGCACTATCATGTCTAAAATTCAACCATTTAAGATTCTGTTCCCTGGATTAAATCTTTCCCTTTCTAAAAGCCTCTTTTCAAATGTGCCAACATAGCTCAATAAGGTAATATTTTGATTCCCAAGGTTCCTATAATTAAATTAATCTTTCCTAAATAGAGGCAGCTGAGGTTGCCTGGGTGGTTCAGTGGATTAAGTGTCTGACTCCTGATTTTGGCTTAGGTCATGATCTCAGGGTTGTGAGATCGAGCCCTGCATAGGGCTCTGCCCTGGGTGTGGAGCCTGCTTGATATTGTCTCTCTCCCTCTTTCTCTACCCCTCCCCCCACTCTTCCCCTCTCTTAATTAACAAACAGAGCTAGCTGACATAAACCGAGTGCAGTTTGATATCAGGTAGAAAGGGGGTAAATGGGAAGATGCTGAAAATGGGAAACAAGAAATTGAGTTTGGGGGAGCAGAAAAAAATGCTGATGGGCACAAGTGATAATTTTTACCAAAGTTTAGACTCTTAGTCCCATCTGGCTCTAATAAAAAACACATTAGTCAAGAATTTGTACAGAAAAAGAACACCTCATGCCCCTACTTTAAGATCAGTGTTCTTGAATAAAAATCCAGTACAGCACTTCTACTTTACTGCCCTTCAATACTATCCAAATGTTGGTCTGAAACTGACAAGATTCACTGGTTTTCTCTCATCTACCTTTTTTCTATCAGAAATAAAGCAAAAATTAAAGAAAAATAAACACATTTAAAGAAATACTTGCTAAAATTCTGAAATGCTCTGAGTAATCGCAGAGTAGAGGGTACAAGCATATTAATTACTACCAAGTAGTCAAAATGAAAGAGTCTTGAGAATTTACAATAAGGATCAAACAAGATGACCTGTATGCTTTCTCTCTTGAATACAAATTAGCAATTGGATAACAATAAGATTTCCTTTGGAAAGATGATTCCTACCTGGCTAATCAAATCTTATACAATACTGTAGGTTTACTGAGATCAAGGTAAAGTCTATTTTTACTTGAAAAATCTTGTGATCCTATGTTGACTTGAGCAAGGATCCAAATGAATTGTATCTCATCTACAGAAGAAAATAAAGTTTTAGATCATATAGTGTTTTTTTTTTTGGATCAAATAAATGATTCTAAACCCAGCATTTAAAGAAGTATTATTACTGTGCTAATATTCACTTAGGCAATTTAGCAGCTGGTCTTGGGCTCTGGGGCTCATTCAATTGACTTGCTTAGTAGAAAACAACACATGTACTGTTCGTGCATGACACCAGGCTATGGTGGGAATCAACAAGGAAAGCCAAGAAATATCTAGAGATGTAAGCAATGAGTTGATTAGAAGTAGTCAGGAAAGATCTGTACATTCTGAATGGCAAAAGACCATAGGGATTAATGGGAAGAGGACATATTTGAAAATATAGGAAATGACCCATACAGAAAATAATGGGCTTGGGGATCCAAAAACATTACTTCTTAACCTAACTCTGCTGTGTATATTACTTTAGACAAATCAATTCTCCTCTCTGAGTCCCAGAATCCTAATTTGTAAAATGGGGTTTAAATATAATGATAGATTCTCATCAGCTTAAAAAATTAAGATATCTGTGCTTTTAATATTAGGGAAAGAGGTCAATGAAGGAAATTGAAAAAATAAAGATTCTTCCTAACATATATGAATTACAGGAATAGTCAGTTCAATAACAGTATTAAGTAACTTGCCATGGTTATGACCTTTTATTTTCCCTGGCTAGAGTAGTGGACAAATATGCATTCAAAAGGAGAATTTTGTTAACAACTCTAAAAATTGCTGAGATTTTTTTCATTCCTCTTGTCTATCATCTAAAATAATGTATTTAATCTTTTTTATTTTCTATTTGATTTTCAGACATGATGAACAAATTGAAAACTTTTCCTATTCCATTACTTCAATTTATCCAGAAAATAACTAAAAATTCGCTGTTTATAGAGGCTCAAACGAATATCCTGTGTTATTTCATAGAACAGTCAAAAACAAAACAAAACAAAAAACACACAAAAACTCTGTTTTAGAGGAGGTAGATATTTCCTTAGTTACCTAATCCCAAATTAAACAATGCATGACTA